GGAAGCCCGCCGAAAACCACACCTAAGCAAACTGCAACTGGAATGATGTTGGAATGCGCTCCAACTCTAATTCTAAAACTAGTTATACAACCAGGACAAAGTCGACTTAGTGGTGAAAGTAAACAGGGTTGTCTCAGGGCCATATGTGGATGTCGTTCACTTCATTCTAAAGTCTACATCACCGTGTGATGACAGAAATTAGTTCGGGACCAAACGTCGAACGCAGCAGAAGCACTGTCAGAATGGTATATCCGACCAATTGAAATTAGAAGTTGTTTTCATAAGCAAACTACTAACAAGGTTGCTGGAAACCCTTCGACAGCTCATGACCGGTTTCGTCCTCCTTGTGGCTCATCAGGTAGGCGCAGTCCCCGAGTTTCCGTCAATCTTATGTTCCACCCAAATGGGTTCAAATGGTTTCGATAAATACGCTCATTCGCAAATCAATTTGGTTTTCATGGGAGACTCAGGCGAGGCTCTCATTTATGATGTTCTTCAACTGAATATGCTGTACAAGGGCCGACTCATGTTTCAGTTGGTACGATATCCGAGATGTGAAAGTATATTTTCATAAAGGAGGGTTTTCAGCAACCTTGTGAGTAGTTTCCTTTATGAAAATATACCTCGGCATCCCAAATAGCGTACCAAATGAAACATGGGGCGGCCTTTGTGCAGCACATTCAGTTGACGAACATCACAAACGAGGGATTCACTTGAGTCTCCCGTAGAAACCAAACTGATTTGCAAATGAGTGTATTTGTAGAAGTTGTTCTCTTTTCGTTCTTACCCACCTAAAATGTTTCCACTATTATAGCGGTTCACATCTCCATATTATTCTGTTTTTCTCTTGCGAGTTTTTTGACTTAATAGCTACAGAATATGTGTAAACCTAAACTGGGAAGATGTAGATAAACGCGAACTGGAGCAGGTTCTCGTGATAATTTGCGCATAGTCTAAAATCAGGAAGTGGCACTACATATTCGTTCATGTAATGAAAAACCGGTCGCTAGTTGGTGAACTCCTGAATGGCATGAATGTGTTATCAAGTGACTTCTGATATCCACAGGTCGTTACAGATGCACAAAAGATGTTTTTTTTATTTCGAAGCAGTTAAGAGCTGGATCAGAAATCGGCGCAACCAGTTGCACTTGTAAGTGATATCAAGTAGTACATGCACAGCCCTCGGTTCGAGGTTTGGTGTAAATCTTACCAAAGTGAAGCCTTAAATAACACAACCAGTGCCACTTGGGCCACTCGCAGTGAATTACATGTGTTTCGGGCGATGATGTGACTCCAACTCTACTGTTTCTCGCAAAGGGGAAGAAGAGTAGCTGTCCATTGAAAGGATGACACCGAAAGTCTTGACTGAGAAAGAACTCTTATTTTTGACTGTCTATTGCCCTGGTATGAAGACTGTATAGACATCTCACTCATCATACTGTTTGTTAAAAATTATCTAATACGTACTCTCAATGCAAAATAAGATTGCTTTATATTGGCCGCCAAAACATTTGGGCATTACTTCCTTTTGAAGTGATTGCATCCGTTCTTGATCAGTCGATATTTAACCAAATGTGACGAGCATCTCGTGGTTCACGTGACTGAAAGAGATGACTTAAAACCAGTCGAAACAAAATAGTTGCTTCAATGAACAAACAGCTGGATGGGAAATTAGAAGCGACATCAGTGGAAACTTATGGGTGAGTCAATTTGATATAACTCTGGAAGGAAATGATGTCAGCAACGATTGACTGTCAAGTTTGAATAGATTTATTTTAGCGATTGTTGCGTGACCTTAGATCTATAAATCCGGAGGCCTTTCTATCAACCTGTCATTGCATGGGAACTTTGACTTTAATGACCAGCATAGAAGGTGATGACATAGTCAGTTCAGTTCGTGTTCGAATCGCTTGATGAGCTTTATGGATGGCTAATCTGAGCAAATCAGGCAGTAGTTTGAAGTCCTACTATCTGTAGTGTTTAAGCTGTATACTTGCACACTGTCATTAGTCGCGTTACAATAAAGATATCAACCTGGATTCATTCGCTCCCACTGTTTCTTCTCCTGCCCGCTTTTATAAGCATTAATGACCCCCGAATAAGTGTCAGTACCAAAGTATTCTCCACTGATTTGGGTAAACGGACCATAATGATGGCAACTTTCCAGCACCAGACTCCTGAATAGATTCTTTCTCTACAGCTTTTTTTATTATAGGCCTAGACTGCTAGCTGTTGTTGGCTAACTAAAACTATGCCTATTTCTTCACTTGGTTCCCACTCACTTGGAATCCTCACCATACAGGCTACTTTTCAAGAGGAGCACTCCCCCGAGAAACATCCAGTGACTCCTTAAGTATAAAATTTTATGGCCTGGTCATAAATTTACTTTCGGTCTCTCACATTAGTGCTTACGTAGTAAATTTCTTTAGAAAATGGAGAAACGGAAGCCTGAACTAGCTAACTCTTTGGCTGTATCCATGAAATAGATTGACGAAAGTGCCATCAGCAAAATAAGGATGATGAGATGTGTTGTAAAAAAAAATTGAAGTTCTATTTACATAAATTTGAATTCTTTGAGCCTAGCACGGGTAACGCACTATCCGTTATTCATTTAAATGTAGAACTTCACAAAATTTCGTTAACACAGAAGGCATCCAATAGTTGTGAACGCGTATAATGGCCGATGAGAGCATTAAAGTTCGCTTCCCATTAAAGAGTCAAAAACGCTATACCAATGTGTAATGCTCAAATATAGGTTTCCAGATTCCTTTCACCCGAAGGGAACAACCATTGTTGATCAATTGGTTATACTGTCCTACTAAATGTGCCATTCACCTGCCGTCAATGGCCACCTTTCTTTTGTGAGCCAACCGTGCATGCGGTTGACTGAGTTCATCGCCTTAATCCTACTATATTTAGGTTGACGCATCCCTTGCTTCCATACGACCTACACGCCACTCGCGCTGAGTTGGTGAACATCTCATAGCCGTGACCAGCACAGCAACTGTGAATTAGTTTCTCCCCTTTCATCCTCCAGCGGTATTATATGATGCAATATGAAGTCCCTCTGTCTGATCGGTCAATGACGTAGCGGTTATTTAGTTCTCTTCTTTTCAAAGAAATGTACACTGTCTTGAATGTACTCCTAAATGAAACCTGAGGGGTCGCCGTGCAGCACCTTCAGTTGAAGACAGCGTCAACTGAGAATCAAATGAGTCGCCAGTCAATACCATGTTAATATGCAATCGAGTGTGTACTTCCATCCACAATGCAATTTGGTATTCGATTGGGGAGACCGAGAGATCAGCATAACCAATAATTCCCAAAATGGACGGAATGGGTATTATGCCGTCAAAAACTTTCCAGCAAACTGATATGTTGCAATCTTGGGGTTTTTGCGAGATAGGTATTTTTGTTCATAGCCACACCATTCTCGTTTGAACGGCCGTGTTCCTGTTCTGACGTAATTATTCCGGCGAGTCCACACCAAAGGGAAGCACTGGACTTGAGTTTCGCTCTTATTAGAGCTCATCAGCAGTGCATATCCAATGGCCGTGCTGGATTTGAACTCCGGACATCTGACATGTGAGGCAAGCGTGTAACCACTACTCCCCCAACGCACGTTGGACGCATCTGAACTTTTACGTCTGAACAGGCGAACGTGTTCACTCTTGAGTGATGTGATTTGTTTGCCCGACTCAGCGAACGACGACCCAGTAACTGTCCTGGTTGTGACAGGACAGGAACACGGCCGTTCAAACAAGAGTGGTGTGGCTATGAACAAAAACCGATATGTATTATTCACGCATGTTATGTTGCTGAATAAATGATTAGTTGCTTTCTGATTTACAAGACATAAGAATCGTCTGATAATCCGTCAATGCACATCCACAATACGCGTTGTTGAACAACTTTTTTCCCATTTCGGTCTGCTCAGTCCATCAGTAAAATAAATGAATAGCTCCGATTCTAACTTTACACGCATCGCTTTCATAGGTGTTTCGGGAATCTAACTCCCTTCAACGGTACGGCTGAACCATACACTTAAACAGTTAACCCACCCGTTGGCCAAAATACCTCTCCAACTTAGGAGTTATATTTCACATTACATGTGAATCGGAAATTAAATCTAAGATGACGCGATCGATGAATATGCCTCTAACGAACTCACAGTAACTCGCAAGTAAAATCGAAGCATGAGAAGGAATTCGAATGAATTCTGTCTTACATTGTAGTCGCTCTGTATTCCGTGTCCTATCGATGTCTTGTGACCGATTTTACATATGAACTTGCACAGGAAGAGCTACCATCATGGACAGATCAAGCTGTTTTATCGACAAGGGCATTTCCATATAGGCAGGGTAATTCGGACAACCCGTGAAAAAAAAAACGATCAGCCGATATTGCCGAAATCCACGCGGTTTCACAGGCCAAGTTCACAGCACTAGATGAACAGTTGATCAGCGCAGTGATTCAATAGCAACAGAGAGCGCAGGTGCCTTTAGCCAGCAGTGTATGCATTTATTCAATGTGGTTTTTTCGACAGGTGGTGCTCAAGTGCTACAAGTCTTTAAATAAACGTGTCTTGTATGGCCTTTAGTTGAAAGAGCAAGATAATGGGCGTGCGAAATCTTGTTGGTGACTTATGCTTTGTATTTAACACTTCCATTAGCTAGTCCCTGATTGCTTCGCTAAATTTACCGTGTGCAGATTATTCGGTCATAGTTGTTTTGTACCTTACTCAAAACTTCATTCATATAGGACCTGCTTCAGTCCTACCAGTATTTAGCGAATGGCGATCATCTTGACAGCTTGAAGATGCAAAGATTTATCTGGAGATCTCAGACAAAACGGTTAGCTGAGGTTCATCAGCATTTTTGGAACTGTTCCCAAGCTAAAGTCACCAGTCAATTGAAACGGGATAAAAGTTCATTTTCGGAATATGAGCCTTGAAGGTAGAGCCTTAGTTACCCACATTCACTGCAAGATCATCAGTTATGGCGAAGGAATGGCTATCACAAGGTAACCGTAGGTCATGATGCCACCCAACACCACTCCGTGTATTGATGTTTATTTATTTATTTATTTATTAATTTACTCATTTATATTACCATATAAGCGGATGACAACAGTCCCACTTGAGACCGCTTCTTGAGGTATACACAGGGACCAACCTCTACGTAGGCCGACTTATATTAGCCTTCCTTAGCCAAGACCTCAAGTTCCAACTGGAACCAAAGATTGCCTAGTGAGCTACCTTCACCCAAAAATGTCAGTCGTGAACATGCAATCAAGATTGGACAGACTGACTGAGAATACCAGTGAAGTGCGACATTCCATCATTCTCTGACTGCTATTGTGAATTTGTTTTCCACCTGAGTGCATATTATGAAACGTTTCACAAAATCGGTATCAAAGACTGTGGTAATGATTTGTAAGCGCACTAAAATGTTCCATGCTTTCTGACCCAGGAAGTTAGGTTAGTTCATAATCCCGATTAGTATCATTTGCTGAGCTATTGTGAATAGTTAAATCTAAACAACGAGCACATTTTACACACATCAAGTTTTGCACAATCGTCATATATCCCTATTTCACCTTTCATATGAGGACCATTTCGTCCCGGTCCCAAGAACCTTAACACTGGATTGGTGAGTAAAGTGCATTCTTTAGGTATGCTTTTCATGCAAATACTAATCGATTATTCGGTGACGCAAGCGTCGAAGAACGCCAAGAGATAGATAACTTAGGCTAGGTTGATTCAATTCTAGGAACCGACCGTTTATTTCTTCAGCATACACCTGGAATGAGAAAATTTAATATTTATACTGTTGAACAGAACTCAAATACAGGGATGTGACAGTGGACCAATATGCTATTTTAGCAAAGCAGCCACTTTATCGTCGTTTATCTTAGTTATATGAAGATAAATCTACGCTTGACCAACAAAGAGTAAAAGTCGCACATTAACTATCTAATAGACACCAGTGTTCTCACTGGCATTTAAGCTGTCACGGTTTGAACTATCCCCGAAATAGGAATCTGGATTCGAAGACAGCACTCCGATAATTTCCACTACTTGGAGCTTATCCGCTTACTCTCCGTCAATCTTGTGGTCACTCTGTCATTCCACGGCAAAACTCCTACCAAATGAAACTTCCCAGTAACTTATGAGGTTCAGTGAAGCTCTAACCCATCCAGTTTAAACCCAAGTAGCTGTCGTCCGGTCCTAGTGGAACTTGAGGGTAAAAATACGAAGGTCAGATCTAGCATTTCTACACGGTGTGGAAGAATACGGTTGGAACGATGAATATTCGAAGAATAGGTAAAACCGATGAGGGCTGAATCAGACTAACAACGGATGAATAATTCCCGGACCTTGAGAATCCGCATTAAAATGCAGGTAAACCGGACAGTTCTCTTCACATCTTTAGCAGAGGCAGCTGTGAAAGCAGGGGCACTGTTCCAGTCATTATCGACATGCTTCCTAATTGTTGGTGGCACAGTGAGCAACCGATGATATTTGGCGATAGCGGTCTGGGCCACAGAAATAAGTACTTATTTTGAGGAGTCAAATGTTCCAATATATCTGCCACTGATATGTTGCACCTCTGGCTCCTCGCTGTCCACCACTATTCATCTAGTTTCCACTAAATATATTGCCTTCCTGCTGCACGATGATCGTAAAGCATAAACACTGTACCTCTGCTTCCCCAAAACCACGTGAAAAACATTGGAAAGCAGCATAATGGTGGAACACACTTCTGATAAGATTGCTGATAATTTTTCTACAAACTAAGGCCCGTTGAGCCCTTTTTGGGCTTCATCGGCCAGATACAGTCCCAGAGTTACGGATGAAACCCGAAGCCAATTAATCCGGTCGAGGGACTCCCAAATTGCGTTCGGGAAACTTATGTTTATTATGCTTATACGCCAATTTCTCGAATGTCGTGCCGACTGAAACATGGGAGCTTCGCGCTGCATATCCATCTGATGGTCCTAAGCGAGATCTTCATCTATGGTGCATTTGCGAACCCCGTCAGAATCAAGCTTATTTGTAAGTGTGTGTGGTTCGGTAGTGGCAACCCACCGCCTAAGTGTATTCTGAAGCAAGCTACCCTGTTGCATTCGTTGACTTACTGTCCCAGAAATTTTGAACAATTCCCAAATGAAAATGTTCCTTTTATGTTTTTTCTGCCCCTCATCAAAGATTTCGGTTTCCAGTGAGATGTCCAGCGACTACACCGGAGGTTTATTCCAACATGTACCATTCCAAGGAATGCTGTGGATTCGGGAAGTGATCAGGACTGGCCTCTATCAGCCTCAAATTCAAGCAATGTTTGTCATCCTCGGAATAAGCGTTTTCGGATTGTGTTACCCAATAGCGCGGCTAATTCTTCTTGCAACCTACCGAAAATTAACGCACGCAAAACATAACCTCCAAAGAACTGAAACTCTGACAGGTGACTCAGCCGAACTTCCACTTGACCCGCCTTCAGATGGCAGAAGCGCAAAGTTGGTTGAAGAAAACGCAGTCAGTATTGTGTTGGCAATGACTACAACTCATCCGCGGCTTTCCAACACATTTTCTGAAGATGAGCACACTTTGATGGAGGATGGTAAGGAATATTTGCATGGCGGACAAATGATTGGATCGTTGCCAAACACACAACCGAAAGCCTTCAAACCACCGCGTTCGCATCCAAACACCATTGTCGATCGTGGGTATAAAAGGCGTATCCCGATATTATATGTAGTATCGGTTCTGTTTGCAGCCTGTTTCACTGCGCACCTTGTCAGCCTGATTATGGCTATTCGCAATGAGCAGAATATTTCAGAAACACTTGACCAGATTCCCATACTTGCTCACTCCTTATCCGTCAGTGTAGGTCAGTTTGGGAATTTTGCCATAGACGTTGCATTCAATCTGACTGAGAGACACATTACAAGCGATACTGATCAGGCAAACAAAGGCAGCCACTTGCGTCCCTTGGTGAAGGGCGTGCAGGACCTTGCCGCTGAGGCGTTGGCTTGCCTTATACAACAATGTCATGCTGAAAATTTAACACAACCTCTTTTGTGGTCGAGTAATGCCTTTGACAGGAAAGGCCATCTGGGAAATGCCCTTTTGACGGACTTTGATCTCATTATCGCGGACCTTGTCGCTGAGGCGTTGGCTTGCCTTACACAACAATGTCATGCTGAAAATTCAACACAAACTCTTTTGTGGTCGAGTAATGCCTCTGACACGAAAGGCAGTCTGGCAACAGCCCTTTTGACGGACTTTGATCTCATTATCCGACGACTCATAAACTTGAACAACGCAGCACTCACTATGACCGACGACTTCATCCACAATGTCACAAGGGATTGGTATTCTTTTCAAAAGGCATTGTTGGCCTTAACTTCTACCAACGTCGAATTGTCAGTCTACTACAACCGGTCACAAAATTCTCGATTGGGATACCCACTGTTCACACAAACCCGAACAGTCATCTGTGATTATCTGACCGTAGAACATCTGAACGAGTTTTCCGACTGCAACGACGTGACACAATTCTTGGATCGAATGTTTGATTTTGTGGAAAACGTTCAGTTTATGCTCCCCCAAAAACGGTTGGGTACCGCCGTACAGTTTACAACCATTCCTCGCGCACTGGGTATTGAACAGTTGGTGGCGAAATTGTTGCCTGCTGCCACAGATATTCCAGGCAGAGGCGTATTATTCTTACTAAACACGTTTCTTCGACCGGAGATTGAGCGCCTAAGGGCGCAAATGACTGGCATATTTCTATCATTGCCAACCGATGAGATGCTGGTTCAGATGGCCAGGTGTAAACGACTATTTACTAGTTTTTTTGTTGTTTTATTTGCATTTCTTGTCACTAGCAGTGTACTGTTAGCTATCTTATTTTTTATTGCACTGCTGCAAAAATTCCAAAAGCGCCCAAAACAAAGGAAAACTGAACCAGACTTACTCAAAAAAGCGGTGGTAATCAATTCTCTTGGTATCGGTACAGTGAACAGATCAAAGTTTTGGAACCATTGTACTCATAGCCTCATTCCACTTTTTGTATGTCTGATCGTCAGTTTTTGTATGCTTGCTGCTGTGATAGGGGCGGCTCTGAGCTTCGTGTCTGGACTTGTTCATTCTGAATTCTGCGTCTACCTGTTTGAAGGTCCTGCTCAAACGAAGGCTGACCTCGTTTTAACTGAACGGCTGAGCGCATTCTCCAGAACAATTCAACCAGTGAACGACATCATTAGCATTGAGCATTTGAATCCACGATTTCCTTACCCCACACTGCGAACTCTAGATTCGGAATACCGGCATGGACAAACCCCGCTGCTACAAAGACTACACATGACACCCCTCTTGAACTTCACAGCTTTATTGCATTCTCAATGGTTTACAACAAAGCTGCATCAACTATGGGAAAGCGACGTACGACAAAAACTACTGGCGACGGACTTCACTGTGCATATCCCCAAAATCTCCCTCATTTCCATATTTAACCAGGCCAAGGAATCAATGAACCTGGAGAATTCATTCGACGCGCTAGAAGTGGGTACCGTGCAAGATTATCTAAACGAGCCAGGTCCTTTCTATTTTCACACATTAGCGCGTGTTCTCGACAAAATCGGTACAGAAAGAGCCGTCAAACTATCCCAGAGTTATGCCATGCTTGGGCAAGCTCAGGCTGCCTATGCGAGGAAATATCATGTGGTGAATCATACACTGAGTATCATTGAAGCCAACAAAGAAATCATTGCTCCGTTAGCTCTTCTGATCAAAAATGTTTCGATAGCATTAGATCATTTGAACGCAATGCAGAGCATGCAAATTGTTACAATGCTTGACCAGATTATCACCGTTGGTTGGCCAAGAATTTTGCCCAAGATTGATGAACATATGATTCCCTTTCTAGAAGGTTTACTCAATGATCTCATTCCGTTTCCCGGACTTCGTACCATTTATCATCAAGCTTTGTCGCCGTTATGTCCAGATCCAGTGCATTTGAGAAAGACATCGCAAGTTGCTGTAACATCTATAAACCCAGAACTAGGACAATTAGGATTCAGTTTGTTTGTAAGTTCTATCTTACTTGTGATTGGTATCTTGTTCTACTGGTACTTGTGGTGTGACTAGATATTAGTTTCCAGGGATGTGCTTTACGGAATTTCTTTTGCTCCTTTTTCTTTTGCTGTCCTTCCATTTATATTGATCTAACTCTCTGAGACTACTTCTCATCTTCCGACAAGTTCAATGTAATCTTGCGACCTGTTCAGTCTGGGATATTGCGTTTGCTGCGTTACTTTCCATTGGGGCACCAGAGTGGAGCATTCGCTTTTCGGATAAGTTGAATCCATGTACTGGAAAGTGTGTTAGCATTTTGTTACAAAATCGATGGGAAAGCGTAGTGAGGATATATTTGGTCGCGGCCAATCCGTGATACCGTTGCTAGACAAACGCTCAATGGCTGTGCACAGTAAATTACTGACTCAGGCGGATTATCCGCCCAAACTGTTTAGCATTTTATTTGGAGTAGATACCCACTGCATAAGATTTAGTGGGTTGTGTTGCTTCTGTTAAATACAAGTGCCCAAACCAATCATTCATCGACGCATTTGCTAGGTATCCGGACTGCAGAACTCTGCTATGCCTCCAGGTACTCTAGGGCACACCTAGATACAGGTAGACACCTGTGGGCCTACATGTATGGTAGACTCTATATGTGCCAGTCCACCTTCCTCAGGTCCCTCAGGCAGACACGATTCGATGCGTGTGCACTGCGATCCCTCAACATGTGGTCCCAATGTATTGCACATATTTCTGGAAGTCGGTGATTTCTAAGAACAAATAATTTCTTTTTTTCGGAACCCGAGTTTCACGAATAGTACATCCACAGATTTTAGATAGTTCAAGAACAGTCGAGATCGTCCCGCCTGATAACCAATTTGCAATGAGTGTGAACGTGGGCTGCATAGGGGAGTAAATGCCAGGCTTCTATAGAGAGTTTAAAATTTCACAAAGCTGAACGGAAGAAAGTTTAGTTTTGGGCACCGATCGTGAGTAGCAAGGTCTTCTTCCGGGACAGTCTAATCTCGGCATGTGAGCATTCGGCACCTATCCTTGCATAATCCGCTACAACAGGACTGAGAGTTTTGCAATTTCTCACAAGTAACTTTGGAAAAATGATTGGCCCAGGACCGAGTATAACGCCCTTGAGGAAAACACAGAGCGCTTTTCTTCAAATTAGAAAGGGCAACTTCTGTTCCCATACGAGAAGTGAGTACAGGTAGCATCTCAGCCAACCAACTGGGTGATTTTGCATTTCCTGGACAGTTAAAACGAATTGATACAGCTTGCGTGCCTTCAACCAATCAAGTTAAACAACACCCTTTTCCATTGATTTTGTCCAGTCGTCACAGGCTATCCACAAACCTCTTAGGCAGTATTCACCAGGTGTATGTGAGGAAACACCACAAAACACATAGAGGCCTAGCAAGTAGTTTACGATAACCGACCAAACAACTTCGACAGAAAAAGGTTTAACACAAGACGGTAGTGTTTAGCATGACTAGATTCCCCTCAACATTGTAAAAGTGGAATATAATCCCCTGCTTCCTCATGGTCGGAATCACGTTAACAGTACCCACAAATCATCAACTGGCAGTGGTAGGACCCTGTGGGTCCTGCATTCTATTCCAGGCACATTATGTTGCTTCAGCGAAAGTAACTTTCTGCACCTTATCCTAACTGAATACCCCTTACTGATTTCTAAATGGTGAACACCTTGTGTGATAACCTTACGTAATTTGGTGACTAAAGATTAGGACGCGTTGGTTCTACCGGCTGGACTTACGTTCACCGCTATTTGTAACGACCTAAGCGTCTTACTCGGTGTTTGTCATTCGGCGCACACAATAACACGCTGATAAAATTTTTTGTTTGTCTGCAGGGTTCGCGCTCTGTGTTTAAGGGTTGGTGCAGTAATACCAAGATGTATATACTGCTACCGGGATAAGTTGTTTGCTCACGTCAGCATTATTTCCAGACTCGCTATCGCTTTTGCCATACAACCATGATTTATTTGAAAGCCTCAATGTGAAGAAAAAAGGGAAATTCTACGGGGAAGTCATAGAGATAACTTAGTACAAGCGTTCCGAGATGCCTACACCCCCAGACATTCGGTCAGATAACCTGGATGGAATAGGCAGCAAGAACGCCATTGGTATCTATTAGCAGCCACAGCACCCTTAACCTTGCGCAGTGGGGTTTGCGCGATCTCCGTTCTGGAAGGCGAGTAGCACCAACAGCACCAGAACATTTCATTACCTGCTTCATACACCTCTGACAGGTGAAGGGTTGGCCATCACTCCGCTTCTACCACTCTGAATTGGACACGGTAATTAGCATTTTCTTCGGCAAACTATGGTTCGACATACTCACTGCATGATCTAACCAAAGCTGTCTCTGGTTTTGAAAATATTCTTCAATGAAAGTTTTCGTTCCACAACCGAAAACTCCCTTTCTAACTGCCTCGTAGTTCATTAATTCACTATATTTATTTTGACATTGCAGCCCAGCTGCTATGCCAGATGAAGGAGGCATGAGGGCTGGGATACTGCCAGGTTGTCTAAGCCTAAACAATGCTGAGTGTGGTTTCGAACCTTCCGGTCCGTTCGCTAGCGCCTTACCTAATGACCTCCCTCGAGCCAAACCTCTCATCAACCTGACCATGAAAGCAAACAGTGCTCACTACAACCAATTGTCGCAGTCTATATTACCGAACTTCGATGCTCCTGCTCTCAATCAAGTTGGCAGAGAAATTTCCACGTCAGCCTCAGTCTCTCACCAAAGGGACGCAATGGCTGCAAAGAGGATTTCACGATAGCGGGCAACAGTAATTTGCTGACACAAAAATACTTCTGTTGGTTTTTCGAAAAGGCTCCGTCAGTGTATAAAAAAAGTTGAAAACCCGCTGCACAGTTGTAGCGTGTCGGAGTAATCATGCGCAACGTGTGATATTCGTTTGGTCTCATCTCACAAACAGCGGGCATGCCCTTGTTCGTTGAACCGGGTTTACAAATCTAGAACATCTTGCAACGAAAATAGGACTCACCTGGATAGTTGCACCCAAACATGTGCAGTGCTCGAATAGACAAGACATTGCTGTTTGACAGATATTTCACACAACTGAATCGAACGTAGAACCTGGTGGTGAAGCGTCGGCTCCTGCATTCAAGTATTAGCCGGATGGTCTGTAGTTCCTCAGGATCCAGTCGACGATTGAGGTCAAACCACATGAATGCTTCCACACCTAGAAACTTGTGGTTGTGCATCATAATAAACCTGGTTTTTCAAGAAGAAGAGCTTTGCTGAGTCCGACGAGGAGGATGGGGACTTGCATTGGAAACGGTAATTCACTAGACGGAGACATGAGAATAAACGGAAGTTCCTTGTGTCTCTTAACCCCTGGATGGATGATGCATTTGCTGTTCCCATTACCTCAGAAGAGGATGATAACCGCCCAGACTACTGTTACACAGGGTGCGCTCCGGTAACTAAGGATGAAGAAGTCACTTCACAAGAGGACAATCATCGGTCAGTCTGCGGTTCTTTAAGGTGCGCTCCAATATCAATGGATAACAAGCATTCATCAGAAGACTACAGTGCTCATTCTCATTGCGGGTTTTTGGGGTGCGCTCCACTAACCACCTGTGAGCAGGCCGTTCCACCCACCATGGGTGCAGGGTTCTATGGTGGGTCCTTATACCCGTCAGTGGAAGTGACGCATATGGGTATTATCCACTTTCAGACAGTTTCTACACAGTGTCTAAGGTTCGACAAGTTACTAGGCTAGAAAAGGCGTTTCGAAACCTGGTTCAACGGCTTTTCAATTCGTGTGTATGCTATACGACGTGAGTTAGTTCGGACGGTCACTCGTGGGCTGCATCATACCAACTCAGAACTTTGTCCAGCAATACCCACCTACAAGGCAGTTTTCTCAGTTTACGTATTGGTGTTTGCCATCACCTGCTGGGTCCATGTCTATATGCTAGGCTGATTATGGGGCCGCATCTATGCGCGACAGCCCGATCCACTGAAGAGTGATGGACCCCTATACTCGTAACCCTACGCGTAACTGCTAGCCCCGCGTCTATGTGCAGCGCTGATAATGCGACCGCACCTATGCACAGTAACGTAATCCAGTGGCCAAAGAGAATCTTCCTTACCCTTAACTATACGCGATACCCCTTAACTTTGCTCGTACTCTGACTGCAACACTATGATCATGCCTGACGGTACGCTACCCACTATTTGGAAATAAAAATTATTATTAATGCTTTGGTGGACGCCAGGCCAGTATCTATGGGAACCGATCGAAATGAGTCCTCAACCATACGTGATAGCCTAATCTGACGGCCTATCATACTCACTGCTGTACTCGACGTCGCCTTACCTGGCTACATATCGTACCTGCTGGGTCTGTGTCCATGTGCGGCGTTGATTAACCGGTAACTCAATCCAGCCGAATCTGTCGTACTTGTAACTGTACGCGTTATCACTTATCTATGCTACTCATGATGAACACCTGGGCAGTATTCATGCGGCCAATGGCGACCTTTCATATCCACGCGTCGTCTGCTTGCCAACCTCATACCTAAAAAATACATTAGCACATTTAACAAACCATCTTTTTATTTATTGGTTGCACCTGTACAAACATAATGTGTGGTCAATCTACCCCTCAGCTTTTTACTCGACAGGGTTTGTGAAAAAAATGTATAATCAATTACTACTCGTACATATCTTCCACGACATCATTTAGAACACATAATTGAACAAATAATTAGTATCTAATAATTCTCTTTGTCCAAGATTACCGGTCAATGTCCGCGCTGAACCAGGAGACTCACTGTTATAAAAGAAAACTCACCACCCCAATGGGCGATAACGACGGAGCCTTCTGTACACCAATAGCTCGATTCGGCAACCATATTTATTATTGTGCGCAGCGAAGTTAAAGCTAAAGAGGGGTGTGTACTTGTAAGCCGTAAGACCAAGTGATGTAGACTTGAGCCGTGGGATCCCGGGGCCAAAAACAAGCATCCATGATGCATCCGTGACCAAGATATAGTGAGAGAACGGGTGCTGGGTGTCAAATCAGCTCGTTTAGAGCACGAAATCGCAACTTCACTCGATTTCCGCTCTCTGATGGCGATACAATGCAACTTAATAAAATGGAAAACTCGATCATCCTCATCAAAACTCGTGACCATCACGTGCTCAACGACTTTAGCAACCCAACCAACAAGGAGTACCCTCATGGGCTATAATCAAAAAATAACACTTCGAATGCATATAAAACGATGTACCACATCATCTCTCCCACGGGATCGAAAAAATACCTGATATCTTATGCAAGTTTTGTTCTACTTCTTAGGATTCCCTCGGCCAACCAAAAATACACCCCTCCTCACAGAATTGCACATCCAAGCCCAATCACCTCAAAAATGGCATCCGTCACAGGGCGGTCCAGAAACCGAAGTATTTCGGTGCAGTGATGGCATGGCACTTTTATGCCCAGTTTGATAGCACACCCGCAAATATGCCCTTTCTTCTCTTCACCATCCTCTTGTCCTATCACCCACTTGTTCCATTATCTGCAACCAAAAACCAACGCACGCTTTATTCCAACTAATCTTATAGTCATGCCTGACGGTAGGCCAACCACATGTTGGGGATGAACATCGTTATGATAACGTGATAATTTGTGGGTACAACGTGCACACCCATCGACAGAATGAATTTGGTCAGTTCATCCAAAAACACCCTCTTCTTTTTCATCCCCTTTGAAGATGAGAACGACGTCTGCATACTCCATATCGACGAGATTTTTGCGAGGTATTTGAAAACTGGGTCCAGAATACCTTGTACCATATGTTTCATTATCTCGTCGTTCACGAGGTTAAGTGGAAATGGAGAGAGGGCGATCTCGACGGACACAACTTTGTGTACGGAAGCTTTTGGAGCTCCCATATATTTCCATAAAATGTCCGCCCTTTCTGCACCTCCTGTCCAGGATGATGCAAAAGACTACACGGCTGGCAGCTCTCATTTCAACTGCATGCCCTCTCCACAAAATATACTCCTTCCGCATGATGAGCCTCATACTCCACCTTCTTCAATGGAAGATGATGCCGGTTTGAGCTTGCCCTGGTTATGGCATACATACTGAGCGATCACTTTATGAACCGAAGTTTCCGTTGATAAAAGAGGGAAAGATGCTACGATACTCCTCAAATACACGTGATGTGACGCCTCAGAGGCAACTGGTTTTGCAAAGCTCCACGCATTTCTCAAGGCCGTAACAGCTCGATCCTGAAGTCAACTAATCGTATAAACAGGCAATAACACCAGATATCTCCTATCTCATGTCTCCGCAATTTCCAAGCTACCTGGGGTGCGCACAATCTAGCCAATGCACGTCCTTCATATTCACATATGTCCTTACCAGTTCGAATCAACCGCACACCTATTATCCGCACGTAAATGTCAATTACCGTTCTCGAAATCGCGCAGTATCGCCTCATTGAAGTAGTCAGGAATAGTGACGGCTTCTGACTGTTTGTTATTCTAACTCATCACACTCACTCACACTTGTTGCTATTGTGAGCCCCAATGTGGAGATTGCTGCCTTACTGCCTCATTTGAATGGTGGCAATGAACCAATGTGAATCCACGATAGATCGAAGAACATCCTTAATACAGTGGCAACCACAAACGGCTCATCCAAGATATTCATGTACGGGGATGTCCATGAACCGAAGTACGGCGTCGCGATGACGGTACCACGACCATCATACTCAGTCTGATGGCTTGCACGTAGGTCACTATTTCTCTATTTCCCAGACGGGCTTGTTAGCCGGAAGACCGTTTCAGCCCGTTTAATTTGTGCAAGGACTTGAAAGCAGTGGCCATTTTATTGTGCTCTCTGCTTGTTCTGCCCCCAAACCTGATAGTTCAACCAATGACACTTGGCGGCCCGGTATATCAGTGAAGATTGAAGCTTGCCTAATGCCAGATATAACGTATGCTGACCATCATGAAAAATGAAAATATACTAGCTGTGACGAATGCCTTTGCTTCAGAGGACGCTAGCCGTAAAATGATTTTTCATATCCAGGTCACGAATGCCCGCTCCAATTTGAGTTTGCGAGGACGTAATGAGCGTGATTATTGTGTAAGTCGTATTGAGATTATTCCCAAATCCATTGTGTAAGAAAATACGCGAAGAAACGAGCGTTTTCATAAAATTTCCTACCGTTTTTACAGAGACAATTCTCCAACCCACCAGCGGCCAATAAAGTACGAATTCCGTGCGCACAGTGGACTCCCAGTTAGTTTGAACAATTTCGTATAAAACTGCGGACGAGTGATGAGACGTAAGGTGCCAGAATAATCATCAACGGATGCTAAAACATGATGTTAAAAATTTTCTCTTTCGAGCCACAGTTTCAGAGGAATTTTGGGTGTGCTTCTAGGATGCGGTGTCCGCAGCCGCATGGAAGCCCTAAAGGCTAGAATAAATATCACCAACTGCTAAGACGCTATGCTAGAGTTAACGTTGTTCAAAACACTATTTCAGAGAAAGTTGCGGTGTGCGTCCAATTTTCCGTATCCCTATTAAATCAGTTGAAACTTCCCTCTGCTTGGAAGGAAGCGGTTGTCACGCCACTCAACAAAACTGGTGACCAAATATCGCCTGACAGCTACAGGCCTATAAGCCTCACTAGCGTGCCGTGCATTGTGATGGAACGCATTCTGAAGTGACCTATCCTAGATCATCCTTACTTCCGGCAGCCTGATATCTCTAGCTTAACACGGATTTCTCCCAAACCGCTCTTGCGTGACAAACATGCTTGTGTTTATGGACAGCCAAGGACGAGGGACTCATATCGAATGCCATATTTTTCGACTTCTCGAAAGCATTTGATAGGGTCCCACACGTCCCGCTGCTCCACAAACTAGAGTCTTAGGGGATTCAAGGGAAAATCCTTCGCTGAATCAAGGCATTCCTATCATACAGATCATTCCGATTGAGAATAGGCTCGACCTACTCTTCTCCAGCGCCGGTCTCCAATGGAGTTCCTCAAGGCTCTGTCCGGGGGACCATTCCTTTTTCTGATCTATGTCAACGACCTTCCGGATATTCTTGCAAGTCCATGTCTACTTTTGGCGGAGTTCCAATGATAGTGCCCTCCAAATGGATGTATACGCTGCAAAGCAGTGGTCGTTGGACTGGCACCTTCCTCTGAATGATGAAAAGTGCGTCCATATGGTACTCAGCGAATGCCTTTGTTATGCATGGTGAGAAAGGACCGGAAAACATCATGCGGATGGATGCTAAAATGGATTCGGGCATTTGAACCTCCTCAAACTTGTCCCTCTCACTACACTATGTGAAAACGGCCCAAAAATTCATTCGCCATTCAACGGATGATCCGACGCACCTTCACCCGTATTACTCGCATGGACTTCCAAATACTCTATGGGGCCTACGCCAGACCGCTCCTGGAGTACGCCAACTAAGTTGTCTACTTACTCGCATGGACTTCCAAATACTCTATGGGGCCAATGTCAGACCCCTCCTGGAATGCGCCTTTTCCCTGGAGTACCGTCGCCTCTGAGAGGACCTAGTTCTTGCTTATGCCCTGTTTGAACAAGGCTTGGCAAACAGGTTTTTCACCGTTGACCCAGCAAACACACGGCGGGGACATGGTGAGAAGATTTTCAGGCTCAGAGCGCACATAATCATCAGGCAAATTCTTTCTCATTTTGGGTAGTAGCTGCGTAGAATGACCTTCCTCCGACATTCGTCCACGCTCCTTCTAGAGCCCAGCTTAAAGCACTGTTGGACATTTATTTATGTGAGTCCTCGCGCTGGCAATCATACAGCCCCGTGCTGAAAACATAAAGAGCAGTGCTACATCCTTTTTTCACTTGTGCCTTTCAGGTGAACCACAGCCACTGACCGGCAAGAGCAAAACTGACCAGGGAAACTTGGGCAAATGCCCCGATCCTGTGCATCAATCTGCGAATCCGTGAACTCAATGGTTACGAATTGGTGTTAGAGCATACATAGCTGATGCTCTACGCGCCCTCTTTAAATGTCGGATAAGATTTCGCGTGTCGGAATGCTCATCCAGTACATAGATTCGACAGGACAACTTAAATCTATGAAATCAGCACTGATAAAGCAGTTTCGAACCGAGGTACTCCTCTATTTTCTCCATACATTACCACAGAAACTTCCTACCTGTGTCGTTGATGTACATGTTTCTGTACACGAAATATTACATAGAAATGGTGAGATTCAAGTAACAGCATTTTTAAATAGCAGTGTCCATGGGAATGGCCGTGTTGAAAAGTTTCCACGAATTTGAAAACGACATACGAGAGGTAAGGAATCAGGCAAAGTGCAATTTTCAGCTACAAAATCAGGTTTATAATTTCGTTTTAAGGGAGACACCAATATTCATTTTAGCCACTATAACAGCACATATATAATGGATACTGAAAAGTACTATTTCCAAAACCCTTCGATTTCTCGTTTTAATGAACTATGAGGAGTTCGTGAAATTCTCCATAAAAACGAAAGAGAATTAACCTTATGTAGGTGTATGGGCAATGTGGCGGTGTTTTTGTATGTTCGTCGTGGTTATTGCACAATGTTTTCCACTATGTGATCTCCAATCAATTTCGCGGTTTCCACATGTACACGATGCGAGTCTTTCGGGTACAGGTTGGTGCTACCTAAATCGCCATCAAGCGACAGTGTGTAACTTCAGTCATAAATAAGGTATTTATTGTGCGGGTGCAGTTTGTATGGAAGTAGACAATGGAAAACTCTTTGCGAGGTTGTGATAGCAGCTCGTAGCGGACAAGGACCTAAGTATGCGTGTTCAATAAAATATACAATCAAAATATCAGATTAGAAACAACAAATGGCAATAAGAAATGAACAAGTGAATGGAACAGACTCACTAAATTGGGGGTCCAATAATCCCACTACACGAAATGCCGTGCAGTAATCGTATTCGGCGGCGAAGAATATATCCAGAGTAAGAAGGATATTCTCCACTGATAGTTCGAGTGTTAGAAGTAAATTCCACTGTAGGAAGTCATCACAGCTGAAAATTGTCACAAGGAGTTATTGTGACGTTCAACAGTTCACACACAAACACAATAATCCAATCCCACGACTTCAGCAAACAGCAATCAGTTCAATCGGATGCAACAAAAAACAGGGAAGTCGCGCCAAGAAATCGTGTATTTCACCATTTTCGATTTTAATGTAATTATTGGTACAATAAAACAAAGTGTCATGATACGTGTACAGTGTTTACAAATTGCAATTCAAGTTTATACGAAGCGAGTAGAAAATGGGGAAAATGTAACATTGATTTGCAAAACACCACAAACTTCAGTCATAGATGACGCATACGCCGGGATAGTCATGCTCATTTAGTGCGGCGTGGATTCATACCGTTTCGCTGAAAGTGTAAGGCTCTAGTTTTGGAATTGCATATTCATGATGCAGGAGAGTTAGCCAGCACAACAAACGGTATGAAACGAAACAGAGTCACGGTAGGGAAGCAGCGGCATGAACACGAAGTTCTTCCGGACTCATTCCATTAGTTTCACAGGGCCCACCACGAGAAGCACTGTGTTATTGTATCAGATTGGGTTGGAATTGACGTTCTCTTTTACTGTTGACCTTACCAGGAGCCATATTCATGTTTCTTTCTGGATCGTGGTTAAAGATCAAAAGATCTACACATCCAACCTGTACATTCTCTCAAAACAATAAAAAACAGCGACCATCAGCATTGTTTGCAGTCAATACAAGTTTTAAAAGTATTTTAAAAGTATTTAAAAATATTTATTTATTTTCATTTATTTATTTTTATTTATTTTATTCATTTTTAAAGTATGTTGCACATAACAAAATGCTGGGGTGGAAGGTTTCTCATATTTCCTTTGCATATGAGAAAATGGTGGGTTAATTATTCTGCAGTAGCAAGAATCCGTCTTTCAAGGTGATAACCATCTATTCAATAACTTTGAACCCCGAAACCACAATGGTTAGTGTCTAGTTTCGCACATAAGACAAACGTTTCGGCAGTTGAACGAGCACTGTAAACCTGGCTAGTGCCAATTCTGTTTGCCAGGAATCAACGGAGACGGAAAGGTTGTCACAACAGTAAAAGAAAACTGTTTTAAGAACGACGCTTATGGATGTGTTCCGCAGAGCCCGAGGGAACTACCAATCAATGTATATTAACAAATAGCCCAACAAAACAGCTGCCGAAACGCAAGAATTTTTCTTGAATGACAGTTAAGCACAGACAGACACTTCAGTTGTGAATTGTACAAGAGGATATTTTGGAATAAAAAAGACTTAGATCAAAGATCAGTCACTCCAAATTTTGTACTTTACGATCCATATTAGAGTAGTATACAAGCAAATATTGGTATCCGGTTATAACTTCACCGACGATAGCTTCCAACCCGATTCCAAAGTGACGTCGGCAGGCTCCTTTAGACCCCTCTGTGCCCCACTTCAGGTCTCTCAACGACATCAGCAATCCTTCTGAATTATTAATGCTTCCTAGACAACCAACAACCGACAACCAGCAATGAGGTCATCTGTCAAGCAAAAAAGTTTTGAAGAGGTGTACTCAGTATATTCGAAATTTGTCGGTTCCTCAAGGTCCTTGCCCAGGCCATTGCAAGAGGGTAATCCCTTCATTCAACGTTAGAGGCAATCAGGAAAACTTTGCTCAATATTGTAATGCATTTGAAAAGTTCTTCTAAAGGGACAGCCGCCGATAAGAACGTCAGCTGCCCCAGGGGCACAGACTAAGGTTGCGCAAAAAATTGTCTTGAAAACTCCAGGCTAGAAAGCTGTCCCCTGTGATTTGTCTATAATTAATGGTACAAATTTTGTAGAATGATCATCCTGACACGTTGTTGTGTGGCCGCAGTCAAAGGCGTTTACCGGCTCGATTGAATCGCGTTACTGATAGTCTTTAGAATATGAGCTGTGATCGGGAATAAGGGGGAATGTGACCTGAACTCATCCCTGGTTCCAGAAGTCAGATAATGTTTGGTGTTAACAAATAATTCGGCTGTCACAGGCTTTTAAGCTTTTGGACACCTGCACTTGGCACATTGTCTTTGCCGTTTCAGAAACTGCATAAAAACCGCTCGACTGTGACATCATTTTAGTGCATAGCTGCCATACCACCTATAGGAAGCACGAGGGCTGGGATACTGCCAGGTTTTCCAAGCTTAGACAGGGAAAGTTAAGTTGAGAGTTTTGAGTTCAAACCACGGACCTTTTGGTTAGCAAATCTGGCTTTAACCACCAAGCTTTTTTAAATAGAACATATTCTTGGCGTGAATATATAGATGTTCCCGGAAGTAGAAGGATTAAGCGATGTGATGTAAGTCTAATCGAAATTCAAGAGCTACAGTTGATAAACCCTAATAATATTTGAAAGTTTGTTAACTCAGCGATACCCAGGGCAATTTAAAGGCTAGGTAAGAGAAGAGAGCAAAATTAATGGAATACAGCAGTGTATGGAGCGACTAAAAATTACGAACCAGATACAAATAAAAATGTTCCGCGCTCGTTACGGAGCCAGTACAACGCAGCGAGTTTCAGTTTGGAAATTTGGAGGTGTAGGTATGTGTGATTTGAGGAGGCCGCTTCGGGAACATTCGGCTGAAGTTTTCTTTATTTACATCCAACCAGTTGGTTTATTTTCGTGTCTTTATAAAACCACGTTTTATTGTCAATTGAAATATCTTCACATAAGCTAGGAAATAAACAATGGGGTATTGTTCGCACAAGAAGTGCTAATGGTTAGAATTTCAAACTAGTCGTTTGACTTTCAGGATATAGTTGTTGAATCTCTTAAACGTCATACTATCAAACATTTACTGGTCTATTTATCCTAAATGTTGTCTTCATATCAACTAACAAGAAATCGGATCATCCCGTGGGGTATTCTGAAAACATCTTATTTTTACCCTCGCTTTACTTTATGTTCACCAGTAATCAGCTAATAGTCTGAATTGGTCGTCAGCTGCTGGTCAGACAGACGGTCCCACCTAAAAACAAATGCACTAACTGTGTAAATAGGCCGACAGGTGTAGTCTGAGACTGGCCGGCCGCAACTGCTATCCCAATAATTACCTGTCCCATTCATGCTCACCCACTTGACGAGTTTCATTAAAAGCGGAAGCGCTAGTGTGACTGAGCACTCCGGAGATAGTAAATTGCTGTAGTTACTATCAGGGGTCTAACTATCCGTAGTAAAGGAAAACACTTGGTCTAAATTCTATTTTTTTCAGATTATTTTTGCTCTTGGTGTGGCAGAAAATATTGTAAACGAAGATGACGATATTAACTGCATTGGTGTTAACATCGCCATTACGGATATGCCCACGTTGACTGAGTAGGTGGAACAATTCGTCGCAAAAACGTCTCAGCTGGAGTGACTTTTCCAAGTGTATTCAGTTTACGCCCGGAAAACTGACGGTTTTTACAGGGACTATCTTCGCCATGTCCGACATGTTTCCTGTCAGCCAAAAACTTGTGTATTCTTGCCAAGATGTGTGTTGCCCGGGTTCGAGCGAATTCCGGATTTTTCCCGACAACACTAATGCCAAAGCCAAAAGGTATGTTTTACTACCCAGACATATTTGACATTCCCCTCCATGTCAGATGTGCCTACTGTCAATCAGAACTTGCAGAAGAAGTCAGAAAACGCTGTAATTCAGGCAAGTTTGGATCGAAGACCATTTTTGTGATGCAAACAAGCTAATACGTGCTCCCGAATTGCCATAAAAACGTCCTTAAAATTGTGTCAAACAACTCTCAGGTGTCCATTCCGTTAAGGGCATTGGGCTTTTACTTGACATAACTAACCAAAGCTTCACATGTATAAAGACTTTGCACAATGTTTAAGCAGTTATAACCGCATATGCCAATAAGAATAAATGATAGCACAGGCATAATACATGGGGCCGAGGAGATTTATAAGGCAAGAATATCTAGATGAAAGCTGTTCATCACCAGATTATCATCAGCGGGACATCAGTCATTTTGGATAGGACATAAGTATGGTATGTTTCAGCAAGGTCAGTCAAACGCTGAAGTTTGATGGCCTTCTAGAAGTAAAATCGGGTGTAAAAAAAGGTACTCAACAACCAAAAGAAACTGGGAGGAAATCTTGAGCAAACAACTTAGCTGGTGCTGGCCATTTTTGAATTTCACTGCATCCAGAAATGAGCTTCGATGACTTTGCAGTAAGCCAGAATTTACTGTCAAAGACTCCAGGGGATTTAGCAGAATGATACATCTAGTATATAGGGACGAGTGCTGCCTTCTGGTACGAAAATCTTATTAACGACTGTGCACCCCGGTTCAGCGAACTTCGCTCACGCGTTCAAAAGAACAAACAATGTGGTCATCTCACTCCCAGTCCATGGTCATTATCTTACAGTACTTCTAACTTTTCATAATGCTGGCAAAGTAGATACCTAAATCACACAATTTAGTGCTGACTCCGATCTTCAGTTAGTCCTTTGTTGATACCATAGGTCCGATTCACGTGGTTGTCAAAATTGAGCAGCATCACGGTCTTTGTTACGTCGTGTCTAAGCAGGCCTATTTATTTTGGCAGCTCACTAGAGAGGCTGGAAAACTGCAATATTTTAAAATCAACGAGAAACACAATAAACTAATTAAAAGATATAGTTCAACCTCAGTATACGATGCTTGTTGGAATAATTTTTTGCCGTTGCCCCTCAGTATTCTCGAAGCGGCTACTGAACCGGAATTCACCACGTACTGGCTTATAAGCAGTCAACAGTTTCAGCCAGTGAACATCCAGGTACAGATGAAGGGTTGGAAATTTAGCTTAAACTCCAGTCGGCAGTTATAAAGTAAATAAAGTCAGTATTTTACAACAAGCAAAAAATTAAGTTTCTTACAATTCCAGGATTGTTGGCCACAGGTTTCGAAGTTCTACTAGGAAGTCATTGATGCAAGCCGTCTTCAGTCCATGAAAGTTACCTGAGAAAAACACAATGGACGGTGGACGAGAGTCCCAATAACAATGTGTCAGGAAAAATATACAGGTCTGCGGTGCGCTGTTAAACACCTTTACGGAGAGCAGAGTTGGAGCCAAACACCAACGTTGTGAAATTATTTAGAAGTAATTTGTTTGGAGAAGCCGTTTCTGTAAAAGAAATTGGAGGAAAATGAGGACACGGAGACTTCAATGTGTGAACCGGTGTATCCATATCCGCGAATGGTACACTAGAAAATGTTGCATTGCACTAATGCGACATGGTAAAGAAGCAATTAAGGCGTCAGTGATGAAGCTTCCCACGGTCAACTAAAGATTTTCGTAGACATTTGTACAATCCAGTGATCTTCTGAAGACTGATGATCTTCATGTTTGTCATGATATAATTCAGACCAAGAACACAAGTATTTTCTTAGGAAGACAAACACTTTGTATCCGGATCATGCTGCCTAACAAAAGTGGCGTACCGAGTTGCCAATAAGTGTTGGCCCCTCCCATTGAACCACTTTGGCCGTTTGGATAAACAGACGAGTTCGTGAGCCAAAACTCCAGTAATAAGAACACTTTGGTTATTCTTAACGGTAGTTACGGTCAGTATTGCGTCATAAACACGAGGTTGAGGAGATAACTGATATTCGATATGACTGTCCCCTCTTGTAATCAATAAGTTTTTCCACTTAGTGGAAGACGGGGTCTTTTGTTAGCGAGTGTCTTCGCAGAATGTTTTTTGAAGTGAATGTTCATCAATCAGTCATCATCATCAAATGAGAACGAAAAAGAATTCATTTTCATAACTTGATTACATAACACTACCGATGCAACGTCGCTCAGTGGCTCATAAAATACACGGACTAAAATGCGGAGCCATTGAAAAAACTCATCAGGTGTTATTTCGTATATCGGACAGTTTTTCCAACCTCAAAAACTTCGACTTATTGCAGATACTTTACCAGTAAGTTGTTTTTCAACAATAATCTAAGCTACTCCCGGATTCCATCACTGTTACTTTGTCCAGAAATTATTATTTAAAACGGGTTGACAGAGTGCCCATCCACCAATGGCTGAAGTTTTTTGTCCCAGCATTTTGTGATGTCATCTTTACAAATTGCATAAAAGCCTGTTTCTATTGTGCGCTTCTAGTGTGACCGTTTATGCTCATGGCCCCACAACTTGTTACTTAAGTGAAGGAACGTGTGCCTTTCTTGCTGAGAACGTAGTAAAAACTTTCACAGGTAACGATTCTCATCAGTTGAAAACAATTACGACAGTGGAACCGAGCATCTTCGCGGGGGGGGGGGGATTCACTAAGCATAGGACGAGATTTTTTGATTCGTCCGAAATGTTACTAGACAAAAAACACGACAGTAAATATCACTAGTAAAAACTGTTATGACAAAGGGTCTGCTGGTCTCTCCAAGGAGGGCAGTGTGTATGATCTGGCGTTGGTAAATCAGATCATGACAACCTAAACAAATACGTGTGATTTCTTTACCTGAGCTTTCGGTGCTTTTCAATCAGATTTGTCTCTTTGAATACATAGATTACTGCTCTCCCAAAACGAGCTCCCTCGAATAGAGACCTTCTGCTTCTGAATAAAACAACCTGTTCCATTCTTGTGAAGGAGGTAGCTGCTGCACCACAGGAGACCAGAATGTTCGAAACTGCAATTCTTAGGAAGGATCAGTTTCCGACAAGAACCGGAAGGGGCAATCACACTTTTGTTACGTGATTCTTTTTTTGGATCAATGTAATGCTCAGTGTTATTTATTTTTACTGGCTAATTCTGGTATATATGCTGGTATATATATGCTGGCGTATATATGCTGGTATCCGCGAATTAGTCGGTCTTTTGATAGTATCGGGCTCTGTTACAGGATATGTCTACATCCTGACCAACTACAAGATGCCCTGGGAATTTTAGGCTCAGTAGTAATAATGGTTGAGGTACTAGTTTCATCCACCGTGTTATGTAAAAGTGCAGCCTCACTGGCCTACTGATACCATTTGAGTCCATCGAGGCTCATCGAGCTTAACGTGCACAAAATCAAACTCGACAGTGCACTTGAAAAGGAATGCTTTATATCTGTTTAGATATGGTTGAATTTCTGCTTCTTGCGCCAACCAGAGCGTCGAAAAGCACTTCGACGGTATTCAGTGAAAGCCCATGGACGATTCGACAATCAGTCATTTGTGTGGCATCTGGTAGGTTTGAACCTGTTTTCCACCAACATAACGACATTTAAGTTTCACTCTTTTTTCAAAATAATACCAAAAAATTGACGACGAAAATGTTTGGTGGTGGAAAATCAACCATGCGAGGATAGATAGATAGATAGATAGATAATAGATAGATAGATAGATAGATAGATAGATAGATAGATAGATAGATAGATAGATAGATAGATAGATAGATAGATAGATAGGATAGAAGATAGATAGATAGATAGATAGATAGATAGATAGATAGATAGATAGATAGATAGATAGATAGATAGATAGATAGATAGATAGATAGATAGATAGATAGATAGATAGATAGATAGATAGATAGATAGATAGATAGATAGATAGATAGATAGATAGATAGATAGATAGATAGATAGATAGATAGATAGATAGATAGATAGATAGATAGATAGATAGATAGATAGATAGATAGATAGATAGATAGATAGATAGATAGATAGATAGATAGATAGATAGATAGATAGATAGATAGATAGATAGATAGATAGATAGATAGATAGATAGATAGATAGTTTTGAAGGCTTCAGCACTTCCTATCTCAAGTGAACACCTCCAAAATATGGTGTAATAGGGTAATCTGAGCGAAGAACTCTTTTCGGTGTATCTCAGATATAAATATGAAGGCACAAAATCATTACAACAAATTACAAATTTGAACCGTCCAGGCTTGGGTAACCTGGCAGTATCCCAGCCCTCATACTTCCTTCTGGTGGCATGGCAGTTAGGCACCGAAAGGGTGTTACAGCTGAAAATTTTATCGAAAATAACCTCTGCCGAAGTGCTGCTCAGCGTCTTTACTCTAAGCGCTGAACTTTCGTGCTCTTGACCAAAAAGATATTATGAGAGTTATTTGCCCTCTTACCACATCATCTACAGGACAACCGGTTACCAATTTGAATCATCCAGTCCGACAGTCAGAGAGCATATCTGAGCCGGCAGCATTATCATTTTTAGGGCATTAGGGTGAAGGTGAAAGTGGAAACAGTGTGTTGTTTAATTCACGCTATTCGATCATGATCGGGCTTTCTACGGCAGCTTTGCAACTTCAACTTACGAACTCATCAGCGACTAAAAAGAGTTCTAATAGCAACGGAAAGATGAGAATAGCTAGTCAGTGACACCCAACACTTTAATAAGTTACGGTTTCTCCGAAGAGGGATACCGAAATAATTTGAATGCGTTTTCTTGCGGCGCCTACACATACATTGAACACATTCTCTCCCCTTTTCCATAGATAGACTTGCGGGAGTCTTGCAGTTGGTTATGCACTGCTGTGTCCGCTGTTTTCGAACTACAAGTGGTCTATGACCAAGTTTACTAAAGGCCCAGCATACGTCATCTGTAATAAGTAAACCGATATGTTGAGCAGGGGAATCTGGCCAAAGTTGAGGGTCTGCAACCAAGTATGGCCTCACTAAACTGAATTCCAGCACTGAAGATTAATGCAGTCTGTCGGCGACATTGATCACTTTCCTTGCTCTGCGTTCTTACAGAGAGACGAACACTGCGCCAGTTCATTTTATCTGATGCTCTCAAATTTCTCATTAAGTACTGGTGAAACTCCTAAAGATGATGACTCACACTGGGAATAAATTACTTTGGTCCATGCTGGAGGATGCCCGCTTGTGATGCACAGAAAATCTTTTACTAGAGCGGACAGTCATCCAGGTTTGGTGAATACAATAGCCTAGCCCCCATGACCGGACTTTGAACGATAGGCTACAATGCGTTCCTTTAAAACGGCCTATTCTCTGATCACCGATGACTTAAGATTTGGCCTGCAATCACCTGGCAGGCAAGCCTTCCAACAACTATAAATCAGAGAATCCCGAAAGAAGTATGCAGAATTGATGGAGTTCTCATCTGAAAAATCCAGTAGAACCATTGTCTACCATTATAGGACTGCTTACCACCCTCCTAGTTACCATTATCGGTGAGACTAACCACTTAACTGTACTCCAGCTTGCGAGAAGATTACAGAATCCGAAGCTGATGGCCAGAGTTTGGAACAACATATAAAGCATGAAAACAATTAATTCTGCATTCACAAGATTTCCCACGGAAATAAACGCTGATTTGAATATGTTTTCGTCGCACTTTGGAACAGATCAGAGTTTGTGTGTAAAGGAGATTAAATGGTTTAGAAAGTATTTCCGCATTGTTTAAAAAAAGTAGTCCGTTTTGCACTTACCTTATTAATTCACTTATTACTTTTTGTGACCACGGGTATTTTAACTACACTTTATCCCAACAAGTCACTTCTCAGATGCTGAGTGTAGCAACGAATTGATTCTCACTATTTCCGCCCCAAAGGCAAACTCGTGGAACGCCTGTATTTAGGCATGCACTGCTGTGTTATCGGCGTTCCGGAACTCCATCTGGTTAGCAACCAACTTTGCTGGAGGTTCAACGTAAGTCAACCCCAATAAAGCAAATTACCTCTGTTGGTCAGGTTCGAAACATTGAGAATCCACAACCATGTCTACTGGATCCATGGAAATATGCTGTAACCTTGGCGGTTGATAGGATTCCGTCATGTAAGTCTCCATTCATGTTCGCTTCATCCTTATATTCGTGCTGAATTGAGGCTGGTGCAGCAGTACGCGCTCAAGAACTCAAGTTAAAATACGGGAGACCTAATCCTGAAACCTTCCACACCTATACATGTATAAAAAGGTGTTTATTGTGGAAAAAACGTTTCAACTTTATTTTCGGGCTAAAATGACGTGATACCGAATCGAAACGAAGAAGTGATGCAAAAGGCAGGTCACAGTAGTTCAAAAGTTGGAATTGGAGCTTGCTAAAGTTGCTGAAAGCCCCTGGCTCTCTTTTCTAGTTACCTCCTGAGTTACTTGCGTATACCCTTCGCTTGTTTACGCTCCAAAGGAAACAAGTATAACCAGAAATTAAAAGTAGTTCACTTTACAAGATATACCTACTGAAGCACTAACTGTTACACGACACACTTCAAAGGTTGATAAAAGCCCATAACGGACTGTTGTTCCGCGATGGAATCAATACAAATTTGTTTGTTCTATTATCAGTTGTTCCATTTATTTCAACGAATCTCTGATATCTTTCGAAGACCAAGCGGATATTAGTTTCCTCGGGAAAAGGCAAAAACAGTGGAGAACTCTGCACTGTGCTGAGAATATAGAATAGTAGTAAAGTGGCGCGTTGTGTTAGGACATATCGTCAGCTATTTTGCGTTGGTCTATTGAATGGTTTTGGTACGGAGGCATTTAACCCCTATGTATCCTGGAAACATCACAAACGAGAGGTTCAGTGGGGTTCCAGGTGAGTCTCTCGGAAAACCAAATTAGTTTGCAAATGAGTGTGTATTCGCTAACCCTATGTATCCCGTCTATCTAAGACCACTACGTTCAATCGTTCAACTATATGAACCAGATGATATGTTGATTCAGGGTTCTCGCTACTAAGCGCGATAAGTTTTCGATGAAACTTTACTTGTAACTGCGGTGCAATCACTTCTCCAGGTAATTGCTGACCGTGTAAAGCCGGGGTTCGGTGACTTGAGGGCTGTTTGCAATAGTCGCGATTTTACTGCTATTGGCGGATGAACGCTTCGCTCGTTTTCTATCTACTATTGTCGGATTCATTTCCCAGTCTCTAAAGTTTGCACCTCTAAACTGTACTCTAAATTCTGGTAACTTAAACCGAGGTGGTACTGGTGGGGCGTTGGGCCGCCTCAGCCATCAAGACCGAAAATTTTCTCATCGGTGAATGCTCTTCCGAACCTATAGATGTAGTTGTCTGACTGGTTGGATTTTGTTTACTTGAAAAACATTACCATCACACTTTACACACCTGACGCTTATAGCAAGGCAAATCTTCACAGTGGCATAGTTTCCCAGATACGGGACGTCGTTACTCCTACGCAATATCCAGATAGAATGATCGGAGCCTTAATGTTTGTTGTTTGTTGTTTGTCAGTTACTAACCCGATCAGTTTACTGTGGTGCGTTTACTCAGAAGGATGATTCACCATTTGTGAGCTTCCACACGAAGCGAGAACTCTCTGGACAGCACAAATGAATCTCTATAGAAATAGTTCATGCACGAGGGTATGGCTTGATAAACCAGGTGGCGAATTCATTACCCACCCTCCCTCCTTACCCCTGTACATCGTTCCATAACGATTCATTACTCCCTTCTGGTTTCCAGATGCCCGTGAGTTTGAATTCGGAACCAGTTTCACACTTTCGTATCTGTTTCTGGGTAAGTTTATTGGGGAAATAGTAAAATCAACATCTATTAAAGAACACGTATGCCCTGCCGGTTCCTATTTCCTCCTAAAGTGGCTACTGCTGTTATTGCTAATCAGAAATCGTCACCGCGTCCCTGGGAATTGTCAAGTGAGTTTGAAAATAATATGCAAAAATTCGATCGCTCAGTAGTTGTTGAGCACTTTCTTACAATGCCTACTCTTTTTGTTGCAGAAATTTCGTCACCGATCGAGTAGCATCGCTCAGTTTCATTGAATTTTAACGGTGTCAACTTGATTGATGATGGAACATTTGTGAAAGACTCATTCTGCCCAAAGTAAACGTTGCACCGATTTCGGTCATGTTGGGTTAGATGAATTTTTGAAAAGCCCGGTTACAACAGAAACATATGCTGATTTTTTCTCTCATGAGGATAAGAATCAACTAAGACAAAACGGAAATAGAACAAAACTGACACCACTCAAGTATACATTGAATCCAACTAACCAACTTCTCAATAGCCTTTGTCCACGAAGATTATGAGAAATCTAGGACGACCCTCGAGATCTTACTTTGTGATTTCTTAGCGGTCCCAGTGAAGTATAGAGTGCGCAGCACAAAATTTTCTGATTAAGTATCCCCACTATTACGCGTCAGTATCAGGTGCTGGTTGTTGTCAAATTGGGTTCCGAGCTCATACCGAGAATGCTTCACTTGGTAAAACGTCCTGTTTGAAGCTCAACGAATTTCAAAGGGACCTCTTGTTGAAACTCTGGAGTCATGCGCAAAGGGCGTTCAAAACAGTGAGTGAAAAGACCTTGGGAGAAATTGCACTGAAAAGAATGCGGTTTGTGAGGGAAAAGGAGGGAGCTTCTCTTGTACCATTAAGTCCAACCCTCTGGTTTGATAATTAAGTGGAGTGTGCTGGCGCCCCTGACTGTCTTAAGTAAACCTTCTTAATATTTGTTTTTGGAGTAGCTCAAGACATTAATCCAGATATCATTGTCTTCTGCCTGATGGTGAATTAAATGAGTGTCCGGCAAGTGAATGCTTAAATCCGGAGTTATATGGGTGGTTGTCGTATTTCCTAGAGCAAAAAACTATGTTGTACTTTAGTTATTCGTCGCCTTGAGACCTACTGATCTATTCTGGACTTGCCATGTTTGTTCTTCTCCAAGCTACCCAAAACTGTGTGTTGGAAACCATTAGTACTGCACACGTTTCCCGCTGCCACAGTTTTTGCGTTGTAAGTCAAATAACTTAATGAGGTTTCATAATTCCTGGTAATGTGCGAAGAAGTGGGAATTTAATGGAGACTTCGCCCCGTAAATACGGCCAATCCATGCAGAAAACCGAGGAAGACTGTGCAGCTCTTTCATTCTTATTTCGAATCATTAGCAGTGAACATCTCGCAAAACTCGAGAGAGTCACGGATCTGCGACCTTCCGGTTAATGGTTTGACCACTTAATTGTTTAGATGATTGTTCGCATGATCAACAATATGGCTAACTAACACTTAGGAAGGATATAGCACCATTCATCCGCTAATCAATGTTTCCACCATCGGTGTAGAGAATTTATTCAGTTGTGGTGGCCTTTTGATGAATGGCCATTGTCCCACACAAAGAGAACCACTGTTGGTTCACTACGGAACCATCGAAAAACCAAGAGTGGGAGACACCTTCCAGATCTAGTGTTCGCTTCCTTGGCTTGACATGAGTGTGATTTCCTTAACTGTACCTGGTCTGAGTGATTCAAACTTACGCACAAATTCAGAGTGCTATCCACATATGCTTACTCGGTGTTCTTTCTTCCTTTCCTTTAGCCAAACAAGGTGGAGAAATTTCCTCACAATATGACCAGTATCACTTCACGCATTTCCTCCTGTCCACCCACACTGCTTTTAATTGGACCAGTAAGTTGCCCGATAGCTGGTCGATTGCTGCGAGCAGCCGGTCATTATGCACATCCGTATTGGGAACATAGAAGCGGACGTAAATTACTTCCCACTGCCTTGGAGCTAGATGCCTCCGGAGCAAGGCGGCCAACAAACAAACGACGTTCGCAAGCTGGTCAAGGAATGACAAGCGGAACAAAAGGAACGAAATGCGGTCAAGTGTGGTCTCCAAGGGACCCAGCCTCGATGGCGCACTGTAAGTCTGAACATTGATCGAAAAGCGAGAGTCTAGACCTATACATTATAGTCAATGAACTAAGGAAGTACGCGATTATAAATTACCAAGTTACCCTCTTCAGTGTTGAGGTTCACTTTGCTTTTTAACAACCAGCGAAAGAGACGAATCAAATTAGGCTGGAGCTGTACATTTGGTTATATTCGACAAAGCGTTATTTACATCTCATAGGAATTGGATATGAAACGTCTCGGGATTAAAGTGAAAAAAATATGGGCGTTATGGAACTACCTATCGAAAAACCACAGGTTAAAAGAGTGCCCTGTGGGACGGTTTTGAGGTCATTCGTTCGGGTAGCGTCAATGAGTTACTCTGTTTTTTTTTTCGTGTCCAAACTCATTTGTGGCACCGATAGATACAACAACTTTGGTGAGAAAAAGTTACATAGCATGATATCGACTCAGTATAATTACCCGGTTCATTGTGCACATGAGAACGATTGGGCACTTCTGAGCAGTTCAGCACAAAGGACAAATTGAATTACCATTTCAGAACATTATTGCTCTCCAATTAAAACTAGTATGGGTTGTTCTAGGGAAAACGAAGGGGCATTTAAAACAAAAGCATGGGTCGAAAATCCCTGAATAGCTCGAATGTTGACTGACTTTCAGAGCTTGTGTCTCACAGAAGATAACATAACCAATTTGCACCGCACTACTGCACATGCTTACCTTCTAACTATGCCCGTCTAATTCAGAGTGGTTCAAAAAGGGACGTGGTTAAACTCTGACTTGGTGGAACGGGGGAAACTGATTGAGGAATTTTGTCTGCAAGGATCACCTCCAAGGGTGAGGTTCACTTGACCCACGCTGCGTTTGTGCAGTGTCAGTGGCGACATTGCACAGGTTGTCCGAATAAGTGTCTTGGTTGTATAGGCCCATTTTCAGGCCCCATGTTCCTTTCTTTTTTCCTCTCATCCTACTTCTTGTAATGAAGTCTCAAGCGAATTATGATCGTATGGCATTCAGGAGTAGATGTTTCGCTGATGGTGCGGCGACACAAATCGTTGAATAACTATGATAAGCTCTAGCTCAATGCCACCTAGGAGTATTTTTTACTTTTTCATCCTACGAGATCTATCACTTATTTTGTCCTTGATTAATGTGTTTAGTTCTTGGTCGCACAATGATTCCGTGCTTGATTTAAACAACAAATTCACCACTGTGCGTTTTCCTCATAGAATAATTTATCAACATCCATGTTGTTCTGCGTGTTCTTCAGGATTTGGTTCACGTCTCGTGTAAGTAACACCTGAGTTCAAGCGAAGGCAATCGTTGATGTTTAATGTCTAGTCTTAAGTCCGTATCAGACAGCTGAGTGCCCAGTTCCCATTCAGCGGTTCATTTAGTTAAATAATTGTCATTTAAGCTTACAGTACAGGGAGAATCGTGACAGACGTTGAAGGGATAACACCTTAGTTTTCAAAGGACACCTTGAGTTCTATTCGGCTATTTTTGCGTCACAATGTCACTCATTGCCTGAAGTAAAAGAAGTTTCCAACCGAGTTAATGCTTTCGGTGAGAGAACTGGAAATATACATCTTTACTAATTGTAGCGCTGTTAGCTCAGTTAGTTATTTTTCAGTATGCATGCCACAGACCATTGAGTCAGTGCACAGTCACACGCTGAACGGTCTGATGACTTCAAAATCTGCAATTAGGGGCTACTTTTAATTCCCGTTTATCCTGAGGTGTACCTCAGGGTCACAAAGTGTATCATCACGCAGTTATACAACATTGGATTCGCGAGAGGCGGAAGTGTGTCTGCGTTTTCGCATATGTGTAGCTCAGAGTCGTCGATGAATGCACCGCTCTCTTACCACCAAATCCTCAAGTAATACGAACGGGATAACTTTCGATTCTTGTTGATTCTTTGTCAACACCAATGGCGAAAAGAACTGTCTTATTCATCTCAACCGATAGAACTATCTTGACAAGAAACGAAACACTGGGTCCGCGAATGCCAGTGGTTTTGAATCCGGGGATGACTGGGTGCACATTACTGAGATGGAGTGCGATAGTCCGTCATACCATAGGAACACAGGAAAAACATGGTGAACACTTTTGGCGTGCGTTAAGATGGTTGAATGAATGGTCAAGATCAGTTGGCGGAAGTGAAAGTCGAAGGGGGGTCCGTGTCTGGAACCACGCCCAAAGCGAAAAGAACAATGACCGAAATTCTCTAGATATCATCACTGGTGATATATCCGAATGTTTCGCGCAGGCAGTCAACAGTACAATCCATATACCACCAGTTTTATGCATTAACTCAATGCAAGCAATGTTGAGAAGGAGGCAAGACGTCCGTTCCTGTAGAGAATAATAACGACTTGTATCCATTATAATCATCATCATCAACGACAGCATGACATCAGTGCTCAACACCAATGCTTCACTGCCGTACAGCCATGACTTATTTGAAAGCCTTATTGTAAAGAAAAGAATAAAGGTGGATGGGGGGGGACTTAGTGCTAGC